TGTCTGTTCACAGATGGGAGGTATGTGAGAGATTGGAAAAGCCTGTGCTTTGAGCCAGACAAGCCTGAGTTCAAGTCCCAGCTCCACCTCATACCAGCTGTGGAGCCTTCAGCAAGTTATTTCCCTCCTGAGCCTCATTTTTCTTACCTGTGAAGCAGAAACAGTATCTGCTTGTCAGGCTCTGAGGCTGAAATTTAAATGGAATGACATATAAAACAACTAGCTTAGTGTTTGGCACATATAGTAGGTCCTTAGTGTCACTTCCCTTCTCAGTGAATGCTGCACAGCTGCTTGAAAATAGTTTAGGCTACTTGAGAAATAACCTTCCCAACTTATTTTAAAACATACTGACTTACTGAATCCTCATAACAAGCCTTCGAGATTGGTACCATCATTGTTCTTGTTTTAAATTGGGAGGCTGAGGCATAGAGAGCTTGTATTACTCCCTAAGATCACAAATAGAGAAGCAGAGATTAAAATCCAAGAAGTCTGGCTTCGAAGTCCGCGCTGTTTATCACCACCAAACTGCCTTACTTGTAACTGATTATAGTTTTATAAAGTAAACTCTTCATAGATAATCATCAATCACAGGACCCAGCACAAAGTCAATGCCCAGTAAATATTTATCCAGTGAAAGCAGGGATGATAAACTATTAAATGAAAAAGATACAATTAAATGGTGGAATGCCCAAGAGACCCAGGGGAAGGACTTGCAGTGATAGACATTGGGGGGCCCCCCAAAGTACTGACTGTCCCAGCAAGCCTCACTTATTTACAATCCCTGCCATGACCTAGAACTTCTAGTCAGATGCTTAGTGCCTCTTAAATAAGGAGACACAAACAGAGATGAACAGACATTTGAGCCAATCCTTGAACTTGAAAGGTAGACCTAGACCAAGAACAGGGGGAAAACAAAAAGGAAACAGAAATAATGCAACAAGTAAAAGAAAACTGTAAGGAAAAAAAAATTGTTTCCTCAGAATGATGAGGTGATTTTCTGTTGTTGTAAAGTAATCATAGGACAAGAACGTGGTCTTTGAAAAAAAAAAAGTCCCTCAAAAAATTTTACAGAGAAAGAATATAGAACAGAAAGATAAAGGAAAAATTGAGAGAAAATGTAAGAAAGTTAAGACTGAACTGAGGGGTCCCAACATCTGACTCAATAAAGATGCTAAAAAGAGAAGAAAGAAAATTATCAAGAAAGTAACACAAGGAAAATTCCCTGAGAACAAGATCTACAAGTAAGACTCCAGATTGAAAAGTCCATTGAATGCCCAGGGCCAGCAGAATGATTAAAGATGACCCGCTCCAAGCCACATCATTTTGAAGTTAAGAACAGCAGAGATAAGGAGACCATCTAGAAACTGCTGGAGAGGGAAAAACAGCTTATGTACAATATGCTGGGGATCAGCAATGCTGAAAGCAACACTGGAAACTTAGATTGATTTGCATCCTAAAATTCTGTGTCCCTCATAGTACCATCAAGTGAAATTAAAGTTACTACTTTAATTTCACATTCAGATATTCAGAAACTTTAAAAATACCTCTCAATCCCTGTCTCAGGAAGCTACTGGGTGACTATGTTCCACCAAAACAAGGGAATAAACCAAAAAGGAGAAAGATGTTGGATTCAGGAAAAGGAAATGCCAGGAACCCCCAAGGTTGCTGGTAGAGAATGATTCCTCGACCTCAGAAATGTCCCACGTCCACAGAGCAATCAGTCCAAACTGGAGCAGGCCCAAGAGCTCCAGGAGTGATGGCTCCATGAGAAAAATTGTTTAATGATAGATTGCCTGACATAGCTGAATGTCTGTATGGAAGCTTTGTGCTTTAGGCAGAGCATTTGGGGACAAATTAATGAGTAAGGACATAGAAACAGGTAAGCACAAACAAAAAATGAAAATTATTAATCCCAGTGGAAACTGTTTTAAAATTGCCAAGAAGGGCCGGCCGAGTGGCGTGTTGGTTAAGAGCTGGCTTGGGACGCCAGCTCTGAGCAGCATGGCCCCAGTTCGGATCCCACATACGAGGGCCAGTGACACTGCCCTCTACAGCTAAGATGCTGAACAACATCTCAACCTGGAGCTGGGCTGCCGTGAGTCGCCAGCGACGGCGTAGGCTGCAGCCCCTGTGGCAGTGGGTTGCCCTGGGCTACCATGTG